TTTTCTGTGCGAAAGCCATGACTACCATAGCGTACGGCGCTGTAGTCATAGCTATACTGCAAATATCAATGCAATTAAATGTTACATTAATTTTTCGGTTTAATTCCGGTTATCATAGCTATTGTTATCTACAGTAGAGTTCACCACAAAAATAATTAATAAAAAGTTTGTTTTAAATTTTAGGAATGAGTTGTCAATATTAATCAGAGTTATATTTGCATTGATAGGCAAATGTTCCGGGCAAATAATTATTTCAATTTTTGAACCTATTATGCAATGCTTTAACACTTTCATTACGTGGGTTTTGCGTTAATTGGGAATGGGAGTTTCGGGTTAGCAGCGGGTTATAAATTAATTTAATTCTAGTGTTATTTTTGATTAATTTGCATATATCACATTATGCAATGCTTTAACACTTTCATTACGTGGGTTTTGCGTTAATTGGGAATGGGAGTTTCGGGTTAGCAGCGGGTTATAAATTAATTTAATTCTAGTGTTATTTTTGATTAATTTGCATATATCACATGCAATTAAGTGCATTTCTAATTTACAAAATAAGCTTGTTGAGTATTTAATTTGTTAATAAAAGTTTTAAACGAAGGCATACAGTATCATTGAAAATAGTTAAATGCTAAAAATGCAAACATTTTCAACAAAATACAAATTGCAATAAATCACATTAATTAATATAAAATGTATAAAATACCTTGCACCCACCAAACCATCTAAATGACAATAAAATCGGCCGCACCGGCAGTAATCTCGGGTCTATTACAGGCGGGTTGGGTCGGGAGCAGTGACTAGCGCTCACACCTACCACTAATCAACTGACACACACACTGCTATTCGTGAGCTCAACGGCTATACAGTGCAGTGAGCGGTGCGTTGAGCGCACGTCTAGGCCCAGGCATACACAGCACAGTCGGTGCCCTAACAGTGCGTTTGCGAGGCATTTGTCGGCCATTTATTCCTACAGCTCTCCCCTCACACATTACAGTGCAGTGAGCGGTGCGTTGAGCGCACGTCTAGGCCCAGGCATACACAGCACAGTCGGTGCCCTAACAGTGCGTTTGCGAGGCATTTGTCGGCCATTTATTCCTACAGCTCTCCCCTCACACATAGCCATAGCATTGCCATTGCATTGACAGCACTGACAGCACACACACCGAGCGATAGGCCTCTGAAAGCCATTGGAAAACCATTTTTATCGTTCATTTTGTCTGCGAATGCATTGAAGTCTACGTGAAGTGCAGTGAATGTTGTGTTGGATTTAGTGCTCAAACAGTGCTAAGCATTCATTCCCTGTACTACTCATCCGTTTGTCACACAAACCACTCATACATTCATTTCGTTTGTCATTAGTTTTTGATTTAGTTTTCCGTTTGTGTTGTTTGTGTTGTTTGTGTCGCCCATCGCTGCAGTAGCCATACATTGGATTTGTATATAACTATAATTGTAAACACATTATGAGCTCTGAATCCGATTTGAATATCGATAGCATTATTAGCCGACTTCTGGAGGGTATGTCTCACACCGCCGATGACCGACACTATCATCACCCCATTTGATCCATTGCTGGTCTCATATGTATAGCCTATGCGTTGCATATGACATGCAATGGTATTTCGTACGCGAAATGATTGCCCGTATGATCACTGATTAGATGATAAAATCAATGGTAGTATCCATTGATGTGTTAATTGTATTGCATTTGTGGCCAAAAAAAATTTTTGGTATATATTTAGTGTTGACTCAGATTTGTCTCAACAAAATGCAATTCAATTGATATGTATTTATAGAGTTATTTGAGTGTTATTTATGCACTCGTAATGTAATACACATTTACATTCACTTGTATACTGTATTATCATTGCTATACAGTGTTGGCAATCATTTCACGCTAATATCAATTGAGATATGAATTAATCATATGTTTTGAATGCCATTTAGCGTATAATGAACACCCGTTTATAGTCAATAAGGGATTAGTCACTGATTTTATTAGTCGTATAAATAGTTTGTATACCATTGGTGTTAAGGTTAACACTACTGTACCCCTCGTTATAATGAACCCTCACGTATATGAGGTGTTCATTGTAATCACATTTGAGATTAGTTTTTAAGCCATAAAATAGTATTTTTTTTGAGTTTAATTGCAATTAATTTTGTTTTAATGACTCGACTATCGGTTTGGCATTAATTTGAGTGCATTTTCAGTGTTTAATCGCGATTTATAAGTTGAATACTAATAGTGAAACTCGTGTTATGTTATGATTAGTGCGCGGATGTCGTCCCGGAAAGACTGTCCAATTGGCCGAAGCCGAGGTGCGGGGTCTGTGTCTGAAGTCGCGGGAGATATTCCTCAGTCAACCCATTCTTCTGGAACTGGAGGCGCCGCTCAAGATATGCGGTAAGCGTTTGCCACCGATCTATAGCTACGACCGGTGTTTGTGTCCAAGACTTGGGACACAAATCGCTCACTGATTGTGTGTTTGAATGACATTAACGTGTGATTTGTTTGTCTCTCTCTCGCGGGGGCACCGGTAGGTGACATCCACGGCCAGTACACGGACCTGTTGCGGCTGTTCGAGTACGGAGGCTTTCCACCCGAAGCCAATTACCTGTTTTTAGGCGATTACGTCGATCGCGGGAAGCAGTC